TACTTCACACATATAAAACTAGTTAGAATATAACTTTTCACTGTCATTTCAAGACAGACTCCTGAAAAGCAGGAAAAATGAAATACACTATATATGTAACATGTGTATACTGTAAAGCTATGGATCTTTAAAATAAAATCATTTTGAAGCAATTCTATAACATTTTAATTATATGAGAGAAATATTGAGATTACAATGTTCCTTCCTTTCACTATAACTTAGAAATAATCCACTGCATAGAAATATGCTGTAGCTAGCTGCAAACAGCAAACATTAGTGAATTTTCAACCCAGCCTCAATGGCTAAAGGGCAATTTCTCTCAAAGTCCTATCAATTCAGTTGATGAGATTTATTGAATGATGCTGAAGAATAAATTTTGAGAAGAATAAAATGGGACTGGCCATTACCTTTGAAAAAGACCAAAAAATATTTATCTGTTATACACTGACATGGATTTCAATGCATGTGGATAAAGTAGTGGCTGATGAATGGACATGTGACATTACAGAAGCCATCCACATGGGATATAAGTAAAAAGTAGTGTATGCATTACATACGTCATACCACTTCTCTCTCACCTTTGCGTGCCTCTGTAGAATCACATCCAAAAAGTATTCTTCTGCTGTTGACACATCCTTGCTCAACGAATTTGTCGATCGCTTACGCTGTGTCGGTACGGTCTGACACTGACGACTGATTTCTGGCAGGACTTTTGCCGAGTCTGACGTTGTTCTGACCACTGACTGATGAGAGGCTGCAGTCCCATCCCCAACTGCCACCTTTGGGGCTGACGTTGAGGAGAAAGACCTCCCACGGAGCACCTGTGTTAATCATAATAATATTGTTATATCTGGAGATCTCAGGACAGCAAGAACAAAACACGATGATGTGGTTGTATCTAAGCTGCAGATATGTCTTCTTACATATCAAAATATAAAAAACACAATTTCATTATCTGTGCAATACTTTTCAGTCTGTGCTCTCAAGATCCTCCAGCTAACCTCCAGGGAAATAACTCAGAGAATAGTTGAAAAAAAAATTATCTACTTACAAAACATTCTTCTATTTACAAACAAATCAACAGAAATTACATAACCTCTTACCATGGTGTCACTTACAAATAGCTTGGCCTCTAGAGCACAAATAGCATCATTGTAACCATAAAAACTGCAACAAGCACCAAATATGTAGCCAAGCTCCCAATTTATTACATAACTGAAAATGTTATTCCTAACCAAAATATAAACACATTCTCTTATTTATCTCTCAACTCAACTACAACTAACTTGTTTTACAAATACGAGGGGTGGGAAATTTGCACCTCTTACCTGAGAATCACCTCAATACTTTTTTGTTCATAATATTCTACATTAAGACTACCCTAAAATGTTTGGGTCTACTCAAATATTCTTAATCAAGTAGTTACTTCTTTACATTGTGTTTTCTCCTCTCTTTACCATAATTTTGCACCAACAAAACTAAATTAATTTATTTTCCTTTCATATCTATCACCTTAATAGAAGTTTAATGAGTAATTACCATTCTCTAAATGAAAAAAATAAAGGCCCAATATTTTTCCAAGACATGATTAAAACCCCAATTCATTTTACCACATTACATTTTCCAATGTCATACATATAAGGTCGATGCACAAATTCACACATACACAAATAGCAAAAAAAAAATAAAGGCCCAATATTTTTCCAAGACATGATTAAAACCCCAATTCATTTTACCACATTACATTTTCCAATGACCCCCACACATAGCCCACATAGATGCCAATGTATACACATGCCCTTCCGTTACAAAGTGCAAATGAGGATAAGGCCTCTTTTGGTGACAAGTTAAGGGTCTTCACATGAAGAATAATTATCTTGAGGGGGAGCATATATACATATGCATTATTTACATTTCTTTAGCACAAAAGACACATGGCATAAAAATCTAGCCTTACTGCAAATTAAGTACCAAAATGATGAAATAGACTGCTCACAAGCAATATCACAAAAAAAAAAAAAGTTGAAAAGCTGTATATACATGTTTTGGCATGTGCACTGTATCTGCCTTTTTTTTCTTGATAACCTTGATCTTGTGATAATCTTGCTCTTTTGGTTTTCGGGCAGACTGAGCTGAATATTGATTTCCAGGTTTTATCAAACAACCCATTGGATCTGGGTGCCTCACTGCCTGCATGTGACCCAATATGCAGGCATTAGGCTTAATTGGCCACTCCCAGGGGGCCCAGTCCACACAAACACTTGTGTGCAGGGTCAAGACTCCACATTATATCTTTTTCTGCATAAGCATCTTTTAATTTTTGGCTTTTTCAATGGTAACAGAACAAACCTGTGAGTGTGTCAGCAGAGGGAGGTTAAAATTTGAAGTGTGCATAACAGCAGCATTTCAAAATTATGTAATACATGATAGCATAGAGTTAAATATAAGTCAAATCATTAGAAACCATTACATAATCAAACAGCTCACTACTATACCTCTTCTACATAAAATCAATATACTGAACCATTTCTTAATTGAATCCAAATAATTTTCCTTTTTTTAATCAACCTTTCAGGCACAAAGTTATGATGAAAAAAATTTAATGGAAATATCAAATGCAACTAATTTCAATTAATGATGGATGAAAACAAAACAAATTGCTGTAGACTACATTCCCCTGTAAAATGTATAAAAAAAATGTCCAATTACAAGTTAAAACAACAAATATTATTTTCAGTTGGTAATCAGGTATGTATTCAGGTTCTGTCATGAAGAATAAGTGCAGTGCATTACTCGTAAATTGATAATTTGTGATACAAAAGTTCCAGGCAATGAAACTGACCAAAACAGAATGATGTAGCAAAGTGGAAGCAACAGAAGAAAAAGTTATGACATATTTAGATGTGACCAAGATCACAACAAACAAGGAGAACAAACAGATGAAACCATTCAAAAATATGCTATGTAACAGGCAGTGTAAGAGATGTATCTTTGTGTGTAGAGGACATATCAAGATTATCTTTGCAATACACAGCAATGTCAATCAAGAAGAACTTACCACAACTCCCTAAAAAACCCAAACATGCATAAACTTGTCAAATGGCAACACACAGCCACTAAAAAAGTCACCAAATGACAAAATGAAATAATAATACCTGCGGGGCGGTGATCAGAACAGAGGAATGTCTTCGCAACATCTGTATCTGATACACAAATGTACAGGTCAAATTAGTCACTCAAAAAGGAAAAGTTTCAATATGACTCAGATAAAAGTAAAAACAAAATAATGATAATAATAATAATGAAAAGTATAAATGAAAAAATAGTATGAGTTTACTAGGAACTACACTAAAGCAATAAAAAAATTATAAATACTAGGCACCAGTGTCCAAGACATGCAGGTTCAAATAAATCAAAATAAAAAGAGTGAATGTTAATTGACATCTAAACTTTATGCTTCAATGCACTGTAATAATGCTCCATTAAAGATATGTATATGTACTGTGTGTGATAAACCCCAGTATTCAGTGAACTTGTTCCTTATAGCAAGGTCTGACAGGATTGATTAACATGTTTGAAACATAACAGCAACATGCTTTCCCTAACGCTGACAGAGACGGAAGATTCACAACGGAAGAGTTATTTTAATGCAGTTTAAACATATATTAGCAAAAGTCTTTATTCGTGTATGCATGTCACATGCAGATGTAGTGTATACTATAGTTAGACACTATATGTATTTGAAAAATATATAAATGCATAGAAATAGAAGAGTAAACAGTTATGTATGCAGATATATGCATGTATATGTTTGTATGCATGTATGTATGTATGTATGTATGTACGTAGGGTATATAAGTAGGGTATGTATGTATGTATGTATGTATGTAGGTAGGTAGGTAGGTAGGTAAGTAGGTAGGTAGGTAAGTAGGTAGGTAAGTAGGTAGGTAAGTAGGTAGGTAAGTAGGTAGGTAAGTAGGTAGGTAGGGAGGTGGGTAGGGAGGTGTGTATGTAGGTAAATAGGTAGGAAGATAGGTAGGTAAGTAGGTAGGGAGGGAGGAAGGTAGGTAGGTAGGTAGGTAGGTAGGTAGGTAGGTAGGTAGGTAGGTAGGTAGGTAGGTAGGTAGGTAGGTAGGTAGGTAGGTAGAGAGGTAGGTAGAGAGGTAGAGAGCGAGGTAGAGAGCGAGGTAGAGAGCGAGGTAGAGAGCGAGGTAGAGAGCGAGGTAGAGAGTGAGGTAGAGAGGGAGGTAGAGAGGGAGGTAGAGAGGGAGGTAGAGAGGGAGGTAGAGAGGGAGGGAGGGAGGGAGGGAGGGAGGGGGGAGGGAGGAAGGTAGGTAGGGAGGAAGGTAGGTAGGGAGGAAGGTAGGTAGGGAGGAAGGTAGGTAGGGAGGTAGGTAGGTAGGGAGGTAGGTAGGGAGGTAGGTAAGGAGGTAAGGAGGTAAGGAGGTAAGGAGGTAAGGAGGTAAGGAGGTAAGGAGGTAGGGAGGTAGGTCAATATGTAAAAAGGGAGATAGGTAAATAGATAGGTAAGTAGGTAGGTAGGTAAGTACATAGGTAAATAGATGGGTTGAGAGGGGGGTTAGATAAGTAGGTAAGTAGATATGTAAGTTGGGAAGTATGTTGACGGGTACAAAAAAAAACAGCATGTATGGATGTTTATGTATGTAAACTATCAGTTTATCATGAATTCTGTCACTATTTACCCATCAACTTTATTTGTTTCTTATCTTAAAATGTATATGTCAAACAGGTTAACATCTCAATACCTACATAACTTGCATCTGCCAAATTATCCAACAGACAAACCCACAATCATCTAAGGATGTACTGGTCTGCACCTCTATATTCATCTACACAATTAACTCATGCTACACACTTGATACATTGGGGTCAACCATGGACGTCAGAAATCTTGTCATTCTCATTGGTTAAGAGAGTTACAGAGGAGGAGTCACTGTTAGTACCTGAGTGTTGGGGAGAATCATCGAAAGGTCTTCATCGGCACATGCAGGGGACACGGGGGGTGTGGCATGGCTGAACCCAACCTTAGTGCTCCCACACGATGGAATCGATGGCTTCGGCGAGTCCAGGTCCGTCGGGTCTGCTCGTGTCGGGGAGGGGAAAGGAGAAGGAATAATATTGCACAGAATGTATCACCTCACTTACTCTGTCAACTTAGAAGCCTCAGGAATAATCATTCAGCAAAACTAAAGGGTTATAATTTCTCATTTTGTATTAACGGCAAACTCTTTATATCAGTTCTAAAAGAAATTGTTAATGAACATTAAAATACCTTAAAGATATCACCCATGAAATATAAAATGTTTTCTCCTTCATTAAAAGTATTGTAAAATTTTTAAGAAAAAAATACATTTCAGTCAAGAACATAATCAACCATGTACTGCATGTTTTGTCACAATGCAATGATTAAATATCAAATACAGATATACTTTTGATTGAAAGCACACAAACTAAACTTTACATACCTATTGAACGGAGGAATCGAATGAGGTCTTTAGAAAGATCCCATTTGCCAGCTTCTAATGTAGCATCTAAAAGGCGTGTGGCATGGCTTCGACTCACAGAGGCACTCTCCAGATTCTGTAGTGAAAGCACAATTAATACAACATTAACTTCCTTTTCTAGATATATGTACATGAATCTATGTATTATGTCCCTTGTATGAGTCTTGGTAAAACAATAATTACACTGACTATCCTACCTGCAGGATGATAAGGTATGATGCAGCAGTATCCAGCTGGGCCTCCTCTAAAGCCTTGACAAAGAGGAGCTTAGGACTGCCTGCCGCAGAGAAGAGGTAGCGCCATAAGGCCAGCTCAGTCTTTCGCGCACATTGTACTACTGTCTGCAGGTACACTGGGAACTCTCTAATGAACTCCACTACACGGGGTAGCAGGCAATCTGGAAGTGGGTCTTTGCTCGAAGCTTCTTCTTCCAGAACCTGTAACAAGGCTTTAATTCATAATACAAAAAATGATATGCATTTCCAATGCCCATACTTGTTCACTGTTTACTACTTTCTTTCACATGAAAATACAGAGAGCCATTAACAAAAAGGACAAATAAAAGGTTTTTCCTTGCCTGATGCAGGAGAAGCTCTAGTGCATGCGGGAAGTATGGCAAGTCCCGACATGTGCTGGCTACTTCCCAAGCATGGTACCCAAGGTTACGCCTCAGCAGTTGTCTCAACAAGTGATGCAGGTAAACTTGACTCTGGAGGATAAAAGAATAAATTAGACATAGCATAACACAAATACTCATATATCAAAAATAAAAATCATCTTAAAAGAAAACAAATATGCATATAGGTAAAAACCAAACTCACAGTCCGCTCTACAATAGTAAGTGGCTGGTGCAGAGAAGCAGCGTCACATGCCAGCAGGGACGTGTCAGTCTCTGCCCCCAGCAAAATTCCTTCCTCAAACAACACAGCTGAAAAGATACGGTAGAGCTCCTTTGTATTATGTTATGGAATTTATAATTCTGTACAATGAAGGTACTGTGCATTGTGTGTGGTTTTCATAAAAAATAAGATCATTACATTTAATATTATCTATCCAGGTAGAATAATATCCCATCTTTCATATCAGCTACCTTTAGTACTTGCAGTGTAGGTGCACAATTAAAAGCATTCAATTCCCATTTCTACAAAAATATTGCCTGAAACAGGTTTCCTAATTTTATCAGTTTATTAAGTACTTCCATTTCATTTACAAAAATGATTCAAACCTGCCAATCTTAATGTTTTTCTAAAGAACCATTCAAACAAAATCTACAAAATGGAAAAAATATAATAAAATACAATTGAAAATATATAAAAGAATGCACAAAGGATTCCTCTTACCTAGAGGATATATGGACGGAGTAAATGGCAGCATTATTCTGCGCGCCAAGAAAATGTGAGACTTGTCAGCAGAGTTGGGGAAGAGAGGTAGCCAGGCTCGTGTGCCATGAACACCACAGTGTAGCCACAATGCATGACTAAGATGTGGCTTATGACTTACAGCACAGCTACTGCACCACAGAGCTTCACAGCTTGAGGCTAAGACAATTGGTGTCATTTGTGCACAATGAAACTGAAAGATAAAAGATTCAATAGTACAAATAGTCATTTTCACACCTGAATAAAAATAAAAGTAAATCAAGTTGTACATTTCAATGGAACTGGAAGATGAGAGATTCAATAGTACAAATAGTCATTTTCATACTTGAATAAAAATAAAATACCACACAAGTACATCAAATTGTACATTTCATTGCTTGAAATATATTGCTATGAAAGAACATTCCATACATTTTAAAATTTTCTATAACTTTAACGATAATTCTGCCCTAACTTACCAACTTGCCATTGCCACCTGCACCATCTGCCTGCTGATCTCGTTGTATCATAAGTACTTTGCCAGATATATTGATAATGACACTCTGCGCTGGCAGTGGGTTATGTTGGTTGTTGCTGACTCTCCAAGACTCTGTGCGGAGACTGGTCAGTAATATGGATACAACACACGCTGGGTGCACCGTCAGTCCAGAAATGTCTACCTCCTGCACTCGAGACACAGTAACATTACCACCACCTGGAGGGTACAGAGAAACAAAATTAGAAACAGCTCAAGTGGTAACAATATATAATCAACAACTAAATCAGTCTGGAAGAGAATCAATGATGAAGGGGTACTGGGGCCATAAATCTAGCTATAAATCACAAATATCATGTGATCAACTGAAGAAAATGAAATAGAATAACAAAAGTAAAATAATATAATACAAATCACAAATAATTATATCTACTAACACCTGATATGTTTCACCTTCTTCTAATAATTTTACAAAGGATTTCTTTTTTCAAGTCAATAAATACATTTACAGTCTCATTGCTATTTGATTCAAAATGTATGCTATACAATTTTATTAACTTTGCAAAGGTAAATACTCTTCCAAGACTTGGAAACTTTAAACAAAAATGAAAATAGCATAAGGAAATTACAAGAAAGCATGCAAGGGTTTCATTTTAACCAAAGATTAAAAGTGAATCATTAACCATCTTCAAGATCAAGTTCTTAAATTTCTACTATTCATTAACCTTGCATGTGAATACAGGTTCAGAAAGGAGAAAAAAAGAAAAAGAAAACAGGCCTTCTTATGCACAAAAGGTCTTTTCATGTACACAATCTGCTGTTCCTGAACATCATGAAGGTGAAATAGGTTAAAATAAAGCCCTGTGTGCAAAGGATAATCATTAGTGCCAAAAAGTCAAACCTCTCTTCACTCTTCAGTGATACAAAAACTAAAGGCACAGAAAACAACTCTTGAGTTGTAAATAACTTTGATTTAGAAGCAACATAAGCTTTCAATTTAAATATGATCATATCATAAAATTATATGTGCATGAGACATTTTCTAGGTAGTAAATCTTCAGCCCACACCATTCCCACAATGCTCACATACTGCAATCTATTGTTGTTTATTAGGGGATGGCTCTTAAAATATTTCACGGATCAAAAAAATGTGTAACACTAATGATAACACTCTAAGAAATCAATATTACATTCAAATCATCATTTAGTCTATTCCATACAATTTTACCTCATGCAATTAACAATTCTCATAGTCCATGTTTCTCGACCTTGGGATCACGACCCCAAATGGGATCACCAACGCCTTTCACCGAGTCACCAGTCCCTCAAATTTTCAGAGATTAGAGGAGCATAATTGGCTAGTTGTTTATGAAAGAAATCTGATCTATATTAGAGAATCATTGATTCTGAACAGGAGTACTGTATTTAGAAGATTGTAACTACCTACAACTTCAATGTAGTAACATAAATGGGACAATTTGATTAAACGCAAAACACACCTCCCCTCTTGAGTGCATGTGTTGTGGGAGTGCTGTGACCTTCTGGGGCAGTTAATTTGAGTGGTTACATTGTTAGGTCACTGCAGGTTGCTAACTTTTGAGAAAAGCACATTGCTTTTGATAACTGATAAATCTACACATTTTGATACTCTGAGAAGAATCATAGAAATACATGTGGTGCTAGTGATTACTTAGACACACTTGAACAGCCCACTTTCTACTACTATCTTCAAAGCTGCTCTGTTTAAATCAGGAATTTACTGGGTACAAGCCCACAAGCACTAGGAAGGTCTAGTGTACAGGTGCTGAGGGAGAGTTGTGAGACTGTGTTCAGGAACTAATTTATTGATGTATATTGTACAGGTATGCTCATAGGTAAGTAGGTAAGTAGGTCGGTAAGTCAGTAGGTAGGTAGGAAGGTAGGTAGGAAGGTAGGTAAGTAGGTAGATAAATTGGTAGGTAGGTAGATAAATAGGTAGGTAGGTAAGTAGGTAGGTAGATAGGTAAGTAGGTGGGTAGATAGATAAGTAGGTAGGTAGGTAGATAGGTAAGTAGGTGGGTAGATAGATAAGTAGGTTGGTAGGTAGATAGGTAGGTAAGTAGGTACATAGGTAGGTAAGTAGATAAGTAGGTAGGTAGGTACATAGGTAGGTAGGTAGGTACGTAGGTAGTTACGTAGGCAGGTAGGTGGGTGGGTGGGTAGGCAGTAAGCTATAGAGAGATTAGGTAGGTATGTATATGTATTTAATGTAATGTATGTATGTGTATATATACAGTACATACCAGTCTGGAAGGTATGTCTAATGCCCATTAAAGACTTTACTACTTTTGCATTACTGGCTGATGTTTGTTACCAAGTACACTAGAAAAATGTGAAGACTTTCCTATCTATCAGTTATCAATTTTTTTTTATAGATTTCAGACCATAGACTTTAACCAAAAGGGTGTTTTGCCATTAGACTTTTACCAAGATTCTTCCTCCATACTTTTGAGGGTTAATGAAAGGAGATTTGGATGCTTAATGTGCCTTAGCAAAGTTTTGTGGTACTTAGAAAAGCTTACTAGTTTTGTGTACGTATATATGAATGGATATACTGTACAAATATGTAAATGTATAAAGACACACTGTACATGTGTTTAGATATTTTGTATATATGTATAATTGTAAATGTGTATATGTATATAGAAAGGTGCCAAGCCTCAGTGATTCATTGTTCAGTATTTGAAATCTACACATTTCACAGCTTAATACCATAGAAAATTGCCATTACAAAAAGTTATTAAAATGTTTCACGATTTCAAAACAGATTTTGGAAGAAAAAAAATCTGAATTATAGCACCACCACACATGTATTCAAAATATTTTAAAGATAATCTTCAGGAAAAATACTTTATACATTCACACAAAGCCTGTAATCCAGTTTATATAACCAAATATGAATATATCAGAAAAAAAAAATAGTAGTAGTAAAGGGCATGAAAACAATGAAAATGCAGCATCTTGCTCATATATCAGTATAAATAATTACCATTATTTCACTGAGGATTAAGTCTGGGCGGAGCCTGTGTTTAGTTGTGACACTTGGCCTTGCCTTGTGACAGCGGGTCAATCACTCATTTAGCACTCCCAAGAAGGAAGTGTCAGTTGATAACCAAATTCACAACCATACTCATCTAACTTCACATCTGCCAAGAATCCCTCTTCCATATCAATGCCTATTTACTCTGTTTTTTTTGTTTTTTTTTGGGGGGGAGGGCAAACATAACTATAAAAAAATGTGAACAACTACAAATCCACCAAAAAATGGTTTGAAAAATAACTTGGGGAGAATTTATTAATGTGAGACAACAAATACACCAAAAAGCAATAACTGACTTCTTTCTTCTTTGCTGTTATTCATTTAAATAACTGACTTTCTTCACGGAACAAACATACACATTCACTAACTGATGAAGATTTTTCCCCAAAAAAATAAATGCAAAAGCAACTAAATTATTATGGTAAAATGACATCTTTCTCACTCATCATACTATCCCCATACCTTCATTCCCCTTGGAAGTTCTACAATAACCATTTAAAAAGCTATGTTTGCCACCTCATTTTTGTTGTGAATGGAATATTGAGAGTTTGAATTGATAATTTCACCCCCTATCCTTTATTCTCTTCCATTCCCTTCCACATTATACTATTACATATTATACCATCTTGGTACCATTGTCTTTTTACTACGTATACATATAAACAAAAAATATTGTATGAGATTTAATTGTTTTATATTTACCATATATTCATATTTTCTGTCCAAAAGTTTTCTACATTCCTGCAACTATTTATTTGACCATGTACAAACTCATTATTTCCTTATCCTATCTTGTCTTATGATAGTTATATAGGTAACTGTTTAGAATAAGACAATGAGAGCTGAGAAAAACTAGCATAACAGCAGTACAGAACCCAAACATAACAGGTAATACCAGAATCACTGTTATAAGCGCAAGAATTTAAGCTTTTAAGGCTGAAGGTCGGTCCCACAACCTGCCCCCCCTCTTTATATGGGGCAGCATTGGCGGGGGTGGCAGGGGTGGCATCCACCCGAGACAAATGCCTCAGGCTTCACCTCAGGCGAGCTATCTGAGCAGCTTGGAATATTCAGCTTGGGATTGAGAATGAAGCATGCTTTTGACCATATTTCTTATTGCATCACTGGACATGGTATAGAAATACCAATACTGTGGCCAAGAAGATCAACCACATTCTTGTCAGCACTCACAGAAGGATCCTTCAGAATTGCAGGGTTTACCAGAGTGCCAAGCTCTGCAGCACTAACCATAGGCTGGTTGTGGCTAACCTAGAGGTCAACTTCAAAACTCCTCGTCCCTCCAATGGCCACTCTAGGGTGTTTTACTTGGACAGACCTAGTGGGGGTGAGGGTGCACGAAAGTTCACCACGGCAGTTTCTGATCGGTTCACAGAACTTGAAAACCTGATGAACCCAGTTGCTCTGTGGGATTCCTTCAAACACGAAGCACTCAAGGCAGTGCACGAGTCCATTGGCAATTGCCCGAGGGCAAGACCGAATTTCATCTCACTGGGGACATTGGACTGCAAACAGGAAATGTGCCATTCCTTGGTGCATAGGGCTTGGAGAAGGGACAAGGAACAGTTCATCAGGAACCTTGCTGAGGAGGTTGAAAGCCATTTCTTGGTAAATGAAATTCACCCTACCAAGCCCTAAGAAAGCTGAACTCTAAGCCCTTGTCGCAGATTGACTGCAGTCCACTAAGTGGATGGATACATCACCTCAGATCACATTGGGTTTGTGAATGTTGGGCTATTTTGAGCAGCTGTACCAGGTAGACCCTCCAACAGTTAGTTTGAATGCAAGTGGTATCACAATACCAAAACCCATCCATCAGCCAGGAACCTCCTACCCTAACTGAGGTTAGGATGGAGATTTCTAAGTTGAGGGGTAAGAATTACACAGACAAATGTGATATCCCTGCTGAACTACTAAAGGCAGTGAAGGATTTGCATAGTCTTGATCGCCATCTGCAGTCTGGTTAGATGGCAGTCTGGTTCCATTCCCCCTGACCTGTTGAGGGGCTTGATGTTCCATCTCTGGAAGGGGAAGTGGGATCAATTGGACTGTAGCAACTACCATGACATCACACTGCTCAGTACACCAGGCAAGGTATTCACACCAATTCTTCAGAAACAGATCTGTGAACACCTACTAAAGTACAAGATACTGGAGCAGTGTCGATTCACTCCTGAAAATTCAACAACAGACTGTTTTCTAGTGCTTTGAATCATTGTGGAACGCCATCATGAGTTCAGTTGTGGTTTGCTTGAAGCCTATATGGACATCAAGAAGGCATTTGACTCTATGTATCGAGAATCACTATGGGAGATCCTAAGACTTAGAGGAATTCCAACATGGATTACTGGCCTAATAGCAAGCCTGTATACTTGTACTGAAAGTGTTTTAAACTGTGGTGGGGACCTGTCAACCATCCTGTTAATTCAGGGGTGAGGCAAGGCTGTGTCCTTGCATCAACACTTTTCAACACCTGCAAGGACTGGATAATGGGCAGAGCTATTATCCAAAGTCAGTGTGGAGCAACACTGGGCAATATTAAGGTCACAGAATTTGACTTTGCCAACAATGTTGCTATCCTATCTGAGTCTCTGGAATCACTGGTGGCAACTCTTGATGCATTTAGCAATGGGGTGAAGACCTTGGCCTTAGAGGTCTTCTGGTCTAAGACCAAGATGCAGGACTTTGGGGCATATTAGGGGAACCTTTTCAGTCAATTCATGCTTGCAGGAGGACAATGAAGTCACAGAGGGCTTTACATATGTTGGTAGTGTAGTCTATATCTCTGGGCTTTCAGACGAAGAAGTCAGTAGATAGATTGGTCTGACAGCAGGAGTCATGAACTCAATCAGCATTTGGAGATGTCAGTACCTATGCAGAAGGACCAAGCTATGTGTCGTCAAGGCCTTGATACTGCCAGTTTTGCTCTATGGAAGCAAAACCTGGACACTATCTAGTACTTGTCTTGGAGTCTTGTCTTGATGCATTTTGTAATAAGTCCCTATGCCGGATCATGGGGTAAGGTTAGCAGGAGCAAGTGTCCAACCAACAGCTACACTGAGACTGGCATGGGACCTGTTACTAGCATAATCTAGGAGTGCCAACTCAGGTTATATGTGCAAATAGCTCGCTTCCTTTGGGACGACCTAGGAGGTCATGGCATAAGCAGCTTGACCAGTCCTATTATGAACAGTCAGAGATGGGCCAAGGGCCTGCCTGGAGACTCACCAAGAGGGCTGAAAGCGAAGGGTGGATGCAGCTATGCACCTCCATCGGCATTAGCCCATTGATGATTATTTTAACCCAATGGCGCCGGGTGTACAAAAGAAAAAAAAAACTCTACGCTTAAACAAACAAAGGCGGCGCGCCGACTTTGAGCGCGTGAGTAGGGGACATCAGCCCGAATCACTGGCTCGCCGCCGGCTCATTCGGCTGCACGCCAGCTTTCAAGCTCTTTGTTTACACGCCGATCGGCGTCACCCGGCACGAAGGGGTTAAGCAAAGTCTAGCAGTTATGACTTTCATATTCATATGTGGGAAAAAAAAAATCCTTATCAATAATTACATCATCTAAATAAGTTTCAATAATTTTTTTCTGTTTAATAACATTCATACACTGTATAACTGGCAGTTTAACTCATGACTATACATAAACCATCAAATACAATTTCACACGCACGCAGTCACACCACCATTCAGTACATTTATTCAGTAACATTTATAGCTTTCCATAACATCTACTGATGTTTCCCACCACCAAAGCACAGATATGGACATTTTGTAACCCCATCACCAGAAGCAGAAATAACAAACAACAAGCATATTTGTGAGTACATGTGCGTACACCTTGACGAAAACCAATTGGTCTATTTTGAAACTATGAAAAATTATATACATAAAACAGTAAACGTTCAAGACACATTCCATCACACACAAACACACTACACTGACCCCTCGGAAACAGCAGGCTCTCCGAATTTCCCTTCTGCTTGCTTTTCTTCCTGCTTACCCTGCTCCCTCTGGATTTTCGCTTACTTACCCTATTTTGGCCTTCCACAATAAGAAAAATGGATTGTTACAGCTAAAACATCAACTTAACACAGACAATATGATAGTTACCATATACCAAAGATAAAAAGTTTATCAATATGCAATTGCTCCTTATACAGAAATATCTCAAAACTTTCACTTTTCATCTATTATGTGTTCCCAAAGTAAGCTGTGCAAAGAAGATAAACACCGGTTATCAAAGAACCTCTAGGTGACAAAGAAGTACATCAATGCTCTTTTCTGGAACTGTACATTCCAATGGGAAAAAAAAAGTGCATTAATCATCGCCTGGCCAATCAGGAAATAGTGCCAGAGAAGCTTACCTGAGTTTGTTTCCGAAGGCTGAAGGTTATACACTGTGATATGGCAATCAGCAGTTAACACAATCAGCTGATCCCCATATATATTTAACAAAAGCACCTGTAACAAAATATACTTTTGTAAGAAACTATGAAATATTTTATAACTCAAGTCACAAGATGTGTAAATTTTCAATATTAAATATTTCATATACATACATTAAATAAATAAAAACATACAAAAAAATATAAATAAATAAATAAATATATATATATATACATAAACATATAAATAAACATATAAATACATACATAAATAAATACTAAATAAATGAGTACTAAATAAATAAACAAATAAATAAATATATACATGTATACATATATACATACATACAAACATACAAATAGACAAATATAAAATGCTCACTATGTTTGTGAACAACTGCTGCTTAAATAGTATGATGAGAATTTTTTTCTTTTTTTCTTTAACAAGAATGACTTTTAAACTGAAAGACTGAAAATAATTGTATATTGAAAGATTAAAATTTGCAAGTCTAAAAAAAGAGATTTGTTAAATAAATAAATAAATATCAATTCATCTTCACTTACCAGCAACATTTGTGTATTAACAAAATCCCCTATATGCTAGCGTAATATCAAAAATCCTGTATGTTCTTCGCTTTAAATACCAGAATGACTTCTTTCTTAGCACTATCAATCAGAAAACCATTACATTCAAGTAGTAAATAATTATATTTATTTGCTATCCATACATATCATAGTTCACAAAAAATCAGCATCTTTTTTGAGGCATACCTGAGCAGGTTGGGGCACCGTAGTGACATAAAGATTATCCAGCTTATGGTCCCGGGGATAAAGCCTAAGTTCATCCATGTTGGCTGGTATGTTGTAGGCCCCAAGTACTAGCCATGTTGACCGCCACCAAAGCAGGCCACCAGTCACCACAAAATCTCGTTCCTGGCTCTCATTGCCAAAGAGATGCCATCGTCGCAGCCGCAAGGAATAATGGGCCACTCCATTCCGCCCAGCAACACCAACAAGTTCTCCACCTTCATCCACACAGGTGTACTGCACAGAATAAAAATGTTCCCTTTATTTCCTTACAAGTAAAGTTTTCAACTTCATTTTTTAATCACATCACAACTAAGTCTACCATTTCTTAAAATTTCATCCCTTGAAGTCATGTAACTTGCATATCACAAATTAGGGCAGACATGTTAACAAATGATGAGATGTAACACCTGTGAAAAAGAGCTCAGTTGTAATAAAAACCTACCCTGATTGGCCAGTTGGAAGCTGTGTAACTGTAGGGTATCGGGATAACAATCCACTGTTTCTTAGCTGCCACACAAAACTGTGAGTCTTTAGCTTGTAAGGGATCCTCAAATGCACCTTCTTCATCGTCATCAAAGTAAAGAGACAAGGAATCCTGGGTAGGGTCTGGCATCCCAGCCAGTCCCTCACAAGTGTTGAGGTAGAGTCGGTCATTCCCCTGTAGTAGGACTCGCCCCAATCGACTCTGTTAGAATACAAAACAAAAAAAAATATTTATATTAACTGACTGTGATACTGGAAGTGCATGTATGCATACATATTGAGTGTATTAACCCATTCACCCCGGATTTATGTTCTGCCCCCTGTAGTTTTTGGTGAATTTAGTTACAGATGGCTCCACATGTGCTCAGCCGGCAAGGAGTCTATCAGTAGGCCCTAGTTCCCATTCATTGAATTGGCAGGAAAATTAATACCATTGCTATCAATACTGTTATTATTGTTATTAATGTTACGATTATTAAATTGTCATTAGAATATTTTAGACAATGAAATGATGCAAAAAACTTTTTCCTAAAGTGAAGGAAAAGGGTAAACAGGTGAAATATGTAGTTCTAGATAACTGGCTATCTGGTGATTAAGAACTTGTGGAGCCATCTATGTGTAAATACAATAAATATATGTGTATCAAAGTGGGCATGGCATCTATTCTTGCCACGTGGGGCGAATGGGTTAAGGGCATATACACATGCACTTTATTTATATACAGTTGGCTCTAGAAATGACTAGTCACAATGGGGTCAATTCCTATCTTTACCTGACCACCTCTATTTACCCCATGCCTTAAATTTTCAAAAAGATTTATTATTCCTTTCATTATTATAATGATGACAGTGAGGATGGTGGTGGTGGTGGTGGTGGTGGTGGTGGTGATAGTGATGATGGTGATAGTGATGATGGTGATAGTGATGATGGTGATAGTGATGATGATGATAGTGATGATGATGATAGTGATGATGATGATAGTGATGATGATGATAGTGATGATGATGATAGTGATGATGATAGTGATGATGATAGTGATGATGATAGTGATGATGATAGTGATGATGATAGTGATGATGGTATTGGTATTGGTATTGGTATTGGTATTGGTATTGGTATTGGTATTGGTATTGGTATTGGTATTGGTATTGGTATTGGTATTGGTATTAGTATTAGTATTAGTATTAGTATTAGTATTAGTATTAGTAAGAGTAAGAGTAAGAGTAAGAGTAAGAGTAATAGTAATAGTAATAGTAATAGTAGTAGTAGTAGTAGTAGTAGTAGTAGTAGTAGTAGTAATAATAATAATAATAATAATAATAATAATAATAATAATAATAATAATAATAATAATAATAATAATAATAATAATAATAATTATAATAATAATAATAATAATAATAGAATATAAAAAACTTTTCTTCCAAAATAAATTATAGAATTGGGTGAAGAGGATATATTAGCTAGGTCAAAGTGAAGCCAATTATGTGTAAACAATAACAATAAAACAAAACTGCAGTGGACAGTGCATGTGCCTGGCACTAATGGTTTAAGAGATTGTACCACATATCTATGATTGGTTTCAATGGTAGAAATAGTGATATTCAATATTCTTCGATTATTCGCTATCAATTTTCCCTAACATAAAGGCACCTTCATTTTCAGATCTGGTATCAAGAATTGAATTTCTAAGACTCTGTAACCAAATAAAACAAGAAATGTTAGCTTCACAATAGATTTATCCTACTCCTTATTAGTTTCTTGCTGTTTGCTGTTGCAAAATATGAATTATTTTCCTTAACGTAGGTATTACTGCATACTCTAATTCATTTTTTCAGTAAAATGTTATCTCTGGAAAGATATGCATAGAATTACAGAAGATTAAAAAAATACCAGTATATTGTTAGCTTCTGGTAGTCTCTGAAAACAATACTGGAATCTCCAAACCATCACTCACCATACAGGGATTAACTGTAAGAGCACTCTTGATAAAGGAAAACTGTAGCACACATGTTTTCTCCTGAACATCTGTTGAGTGTGAGGACTCTGTCACTTCTGCCCCAACCTCAATATCCTCTGTCTCTACAGCACCTTGAGGCATTTCCTTACATTCCTTGATCTCTTCCAGGTGATCTTCCACAATGGGCATATCTCTGGAACCTTTCTCAGTATACAATTGTTGGTCTTGTGTTTCCTGTTTGCTAATTTCTTCTTCTAGTTTTTGAATGCACCATACTTCATACCCCTCCGCACCCCATTCCTGAAAGAAAATATTCTTAATATTTAGGGCATATATTTCCCTTCTTTTATGCAATTCATACAGAATGTAACTTCAAATATGTACATTAGTCTAAATTCTAAGACAAAAAGAGAAGCCTCAGAGGTATCAAGTTACCATGTTCGTGATGGTGATGGCTTTAGAGAGAGGATCTTCAGTGTAATCCCATCGCAAGGACACTGTAAGCAGTGAGCCAAAAACACTCCACAAGGATATTCCACCTCCCTCCCAAGTCATGCCCAATACAGTGCCATCTGGAGTCCATTTCATAAACCCTGAAAATAAAGCATATATATCATAAAACCTATAAACAACTTTGTGCTCTACCCTTCCATTCCTACATATAGGTGCATCAAACTGTACACTTTACAGTTATCACAACTTTAAAAATCTTACTCACCAACAGGACCAGGTGATCCTGCAAAATCCCGACTGGACAATATAAGCCTATGGGAGACTTCCAGACCCCCAGTGGCCTCATCTACAGTATATACAACACCTTGTGAGCTGAAAAATACAAGGAAAAACATGTCATCACAGTATAGTTAATGGAGTGATATACAGCAATTAGGCAAACTCATCTACTGAGCAAATCATTTAATCTCTCAGGCCTTTAAAGGCTTCATTCAGATTATGTTTATGGTGTATTTACAGGTGAGGAAATCAGATAACAACCAGTCAAATTAATGAAAAGAGAATGAGAACTTTCTTAACAATAGTATAATGGTGTTCTTGGTTTGAAAAAATAGCCGTTAGGATTCTCTAACACAAAAATAACAGAATTTTTTTCATTACTATCATTCTCTGATAAATAAATATCACAATTCAACATAATATAAAATCATATCTGTAATCGTTTAACAACACCCTCAAAGCCTAGAAGAAGAAACAAAAGTACCAACAAAGGGGAAAATACACCCAAAAGCATATTTATGGGAAAGGCACTACAGATGGTCCTGTGTGCTAAGAGTCTTGGCACACTTCCCGACCCTCTAGAGAAAACCCTCCCCCCCACACATTTGTCTACTTACTTCGCCCGACCATACGCCAGTAACCTGTACTTGTGATTGATGGCTGCGCAGGTGGCGTCCTCCAGGTCTCGGGCCCAGATCCCTTGCACGGCCTAGGGAAAGGTGTACTCTGCTCACTCTCACACTTCTACACTCTACGCTCAAAAACTTACACAGACTTTTTTTTTTTAAAATCATGAGATTTTCAAAATATGTAAAAATAATTGTCTTATGGAAAGGATAAATTCCAAAACTACAAAAAGCTTTCATGTAAATTTTGCAAAAGCATGCATGAAGAACATCAATTTTATGCTTCATCAAAATTCTAAAATCAAATATACAGATGTAAAACATATCTACATTATATTTCTGGTGATTAGAAATACTTTCGATGTCAGAAGTGCTAGCTGCAAAACAAAACCCATAAAAATCATGAGATTTTTCAAAATATGTAAAAATAATTTGTCTTATGGAAAGGATAAATTCCAAAACTACAAAAAGCTTCATGTAAATTTTGCAAAAGCATGCATGAAGAACATCAATTTTATGCTTCATCAAAATTCTTAAAATCAAAATATACAGATGTAAAACATATCTACATTATATTTCTGGGTGATTAGAAATTACTTTCAGTGTCAGAAGTGCTAGCTGCAAAACAAAAACAAAAAAAAGACAAGCCACTTGCATACAAAATAAGACAAAAATATATAAATCTATAAACCTTATAAGAAATCAACCATAAGAATAAAAATAACGGTAATGGCAATGATAATATTGTACATCATATCAATCATATGTAATTTAATTTGAAACAATACTACATATAGAAATATCACTACATCTACTTTAACTAAAACCAACAGCACCACTAGCACACAACCACAATTTTTTTTTTTTTTTTAATGAATATAACAAACTACCAACTACACACTACACTCACATCTAAAATCATGACAATCTTTCCAACCAATTACAACACCATCAATAACTTTCAACAATAGCAACCAAAGAAGAAAATAAGGATCAAGATAAAACAAAAATCAAAGATAAACAAACAAACAAAAAAAAGAAATGTTCAAAGACCACAATCCTAGTCACAAAAGCCACCACACATAAAACAAATAATGCACAAACACTTACCTGAACCAATTAACAATGCTCGAAGGGACATTAATCCATACATTTCAAACAAACATTTATCCTAAAGACTACAATTAACAATTAACTCGGCTCTCCAACACCCATTTCTGTCAAGCCCAGTTGGATGGATGGATGGATGGATGGATGGATGGATGGATGGATGGATGGATGGATGGATGGATGGATGGATGGATGGATGGATGGATGGATGGATGGATGGAAGGAAGGATGGATGGAAGGATGGAAGGATGGAAGGAAGGAAGGAAGGAAGGAAGGAAGGAAGGAAGGAAGGAAGGAAGGAAGGAAGGGAGGGAAGGAAGGAAGGAAGGAAGGAAGGACGGACAGAAGGAAGGAAGGATGGACGGATGGATGGATGGAAGGAAGGAAGGAAGGAAGGAAGGATGGAAGGAAGGATGGAAGGATGGAAGGAAGGAAGGAAGGAAGGATGGAAGGAAGGAAGGAAGGAAGGAAGGAAGGAAGGAAGGAAGGAAGGAAGGAAGGAAGGAAGGAAGGAAGGAAGGAAGGAAGGAAGGAAGGAAGGATGGAAGGAAGGAAGGATGGATGGATGCATGGATGGATAGATAGACAGATAGATAGAGGGGATGAATGGATGGATGGAGAAAGGAAAGTAGAATGGAAAAGAAGAAGAAAAATAGAAAGATAAAATAAAGAAAGGAAATAGAAAGAAGAAGAAAAAGAAAGATGGTTGAATGTCAGCAACAGAAGGAAGGAAAAATGGATAGACTGATGAAAAGATGGTGGGCAGGATGGAAAGAAAAACAAATAAATGGATGAAGAAAATGTTGTGACAGAAGCACGGACAGATGGATGTTTGAAGCAAGGAACGGAAAAAAGGAAGGGACAGGAGAAGACGGATGGAGATGAGAAGAGAGGAGATGGATGGACAGATGCTAGGAAAGACGGATAAATTAACCAATCAATGAATGAAAGAAGAGAGGCAGATCAACAGACTGGCATATAAGAAATAAAATAATCAATCAGTGGATGAAGGAACTGACTAGTAGATCAATGGATTGGCAGAGAAGTGAATTTGTGAATGATCCCTTTTTAGACCCTCACCTAATTAAACATTCTAGAGGTCTATTAAACAAATTTTCACCTGAATTTCTTACTGACCAAAACTACAGACCAACAAAACATGCACAGAGGCAACAGGTAATGACAAAGTCAGTGATTTAGCCATCCAGTAATCCAAATTTTCAAACTATTACTCAGCTATTAATAAACAGTATAACTGATACAATAATATTCCATTTCTAAGTTGCTTGCATAACATCATTCTGTGATACCAGAGATGACAAAGGAATTAATACTGTAAAGACTAAAGTACAAACATGCATCTTAATCCTATTTCTGGGTATTCATTAACTTCATAATCTGTCATTCCCCTTATTTTGTACTTTATGAATTTCCACTTTTGATTAGGAGGATTTCGTAAGTTCATTATTCATTAAGATTACATAAACCATACCTAACACACATTCATACTTACATAAATACATACATACACACATACATACATATACAAATACATATAACACCACATGAAATTTCTGACTCTAGGAGGCAAATAAAATCTTGCTCATACATAAAATATATTATAATAATAACAATAATAAAATGTGTTCTAGGAAAACAAAATAAGTAAATCCCATCGTATAGAGCCATCTAGTACTTACATTAGGGTCGAACTTGAGGGTTGACGCGGTGAGAAAAGCCGCTCGGCCATCACTTAATACAACAGCAAATCCTCCAACCAGTGGCGAGTACTCTAGATCTACAACGTGTACTCCAGGGGCATCCAGAGGCACAGCTGGGAATGCAAAATGGAATTCAAAACAGAATCAAAACATTGGCGTTGGTAACATATTTTCAAAATAAAAAAAGC